TACTGAGCATGCTCTAGGAGGACACAGGAGGGAGGAAGGGGGGGGGGCGTGTGCCCCTGGATCTTCATGGGACATGGGCAAGGTGCCCACAGCTGTGGGCTGGGGCCAAGGCTACACAGGGTTCTTCCCCACGGGGGGGAGAAGGGGTTGCAGCCACTCCAAATTTTGCTGTAGCCCCCCCATAACCTCCTCCCCAGGGCCGCTGCTGCCTGCCCTGTCTCTTTCTTAGACCTGAATCCTATAATGTTGACTTCAAACAGACTCATTGGTATGTTACTTCCAGATGTCAACACTCACTGCAGCTGTTTATATGATGTGCTTATTTCCTTGTTTGAAATGTTATTAAAACAAACATCCACACATTGTTTTTCTCTTCCCCAGACACTGTTCGTTGTTAACAACACTCACGTAGCTTATTAACTTATGAAGTATTTCCAAAACAAATACCAAAATACTGTAATACCACAAAAAGCAGAAAATATTTTACTTCTAATTAACATTTCAAAACATATAAACATTGCAATGAGCTCTTCTTCTGAAGCCTTACTCCTAACATTGGGAAAAAGCAGAAGACAAGGAAGACTTTCAAATTAAATTGCATGGCAGGGCATGAATATTAACTGACGTTAGAATTCCAGGAGCAAGCTTTAGGACACAGTGGGCACACCCACACGAGACGTTTACTGGGCAATAGCCTAACAACACTGCGCAGTAGTATGCTGGGCAAAAACCGTGCTAATACGCTGCTTTGTAGTAAGTGCCACAAAAAACCCCCCAACAAAACTGTGCATCATCACTACTGCACAGTAACTATAGTTACAGTGCATTTAGTTAGTACTTCATTAAGCAAATACTAAACTAAATGTGCAGTAACTACTGTGCATTAATGAACATGTAGACATGCCCAATGCTGAAAATACGCTGGTGCTACCAGTGCTTACATTGTTGCTAGTGCAGGTAAAAGTGACCAACTGCTGGAAAATGGAATACAAAAATCTCCTGTGTTGATACAGTCTGGACTGGGCATTGGAAGACAAAGTTGATGAGATCTAGTTTCATAGATTTCATAGACATTAGGGCTGGAAGGGACCTCGGAAGATCATCGAGTTTAGCCCCCTGCCCCAGAGGCAGGAAGTTAGCTGGGGTCATAGCATCCCAGAAAGATAAACATCCACATTTCTCTTGAAGGCATTCAAAGCTTGAACCACCTCTGGCAGCAGGCTATTCCAGACCTTG